TTGTCACAAATAACATCACTTTGGAGATGGTGTCGGTGGGTCGTCGAGTTTGCACTCATAATACCCCCCCGGCACTCCCCCACAGGGGCCAGAGCAGGGTCTCCCCGACTCCAGGTCCTGCGGAAGCGCGCCAGGAACTTCCCTCCTGGCCTGAGGGACGTCCGGTCGACCGAAGACGCTGCATTTAAAGCGTTCGTAGTCCGCTCTCCTATGGGCCAGGAAGGCTTTACTTCCTCTCCCGGGAGGTGGTGTTGCGTTAAGTCAGGACGTAGCGGGGACGAAACGGTCGCCTAGGGGCGGCTTTCTCAGGGCCGCGTCTTTTAAATCATCGGCAAGGGTTTAGGCTGCCACCCATTGCCTCATACCCATTACCGGCAACAAGTAATCATGTTAGTGCGAGCCTACCGTTGCGTATGAGTCATGCAAGTGGGTCGGGATTTTTTAGCTTCGGGGGGGGGGGGGGGCCCTCCCCCCCCCCCCTAGTCGTCCACGCCACGAAGAGGCAAAATCCCATGTGGCACCACCGTGCAGTGGTGTTGCTCCGTGGTCTAGAGGCGTTCGGCCACGTCGCTTGTCACAAATAAACGTGTTCATTATTCATTGATGAATTGACAAACAAACAAGAAATCACTTTTAAAACGATATGTGAGATTCAATGACGTCGCATTAGTTTAGTTTCATTCTGTTTTGTTTTAGCATTTCATCACATGCATTAAGGATAGATAAACAATCATATTGCCCGCCAAATATTCACATTTGCTTTATTTTCCCCTTCAAAAATACATTTAGTTTTTACTGCATACCCAAATAGGTCACAAATACACAGTACGTTGCAACAGCTATGCAATTAATCTCCACACCAAAACACGCAACAATTGAACAAATCATATTTCATTCATCTTTCCTTTGAAAAAAAAAAGATTTTTGGAGGGTGGGGTTCAAAATTTGACAGAATGTGTTGTCATCGGTAACGAATCTATGTGCCAAGTTTCAGTTCAATAGATTGGCGGGAAGTGGGTCAATTAGTCATCCGAGGATTTGTGCCTTAAGCACAGAAACTCACGAACAAAAGCGAAGTTAATATAATAAGGATTTAAAAAGATGTTCGTTCCCCTTCAACTAGAAAATCGAATCATTATTCTAAGTCAAAGAAGATGTTTTATTTATAGAGAGAAATACGATGCACAGGACGGCGTGTTTTTTCTTATGTCAGGCCTTCTAACTTAAATGTTTTATGTTCAAAGTCAATATTGTCCTAGCCTAAATTGCGCTTATTTTTAAAGATGAGAATAAATAGGCCTATATACCGAGTGGTCTCAACTGAGTCAATCCCAAGCTAGTGGTCCGGAGTTCAATGCCCGCCAAAGACTCGGTCAAGCAAAAACATCTCAGACACCGGACGGGTGGATGGGACCCGTTTTCACATTGGATGACAATTATCTATGAGAAGGAAAACCCCTGAATTAAAACAAGGAGATGCAGTCCCGCAGGTGGATATCATTCCAACAATACAAAATTCCAACAACTCCTTGCGACTCTGTTGGAGCCAAGCTGCATCGTCCGCATAAGATGCTCCTTTGTGTTGTTCAGGTGAGTGGAGTCAGGCGCTTATCCTCCTAAAAGAAAAATCCCAGGCCGTGTGATTTCATCCTGCGAAGTCTGCACCATTGTCACATTGTGACGGACGGATGCCAGACAAATAGGCCTCTATACAATGAGAATAGATAGGCTCTTAAACCATGCCAATCACAATAAAATAGGCCTATATGCCATGCCATCACAATAAAATAGGCCAATATACCATGGCATCACAATAAAATAGTCTTATATACCCTACCATCACAATAGATAGGCTTATATACCATGTGAACACAATAAATAGGCCAAATACCATGACATCACAATAATTTTCAATAAATATTTCTATTATTCTATACACCACGCCATCACAAAAATATGGCATATATATAGCATGCCATCACAATAAACAGGGTTATATACCATGACATCACAATAAATAAACCTATATAAATATACCATCCATCACAATATGTAGGCCTATTTGCCATGCCTTCACAATAAATAGGCTTATATTCCATAACATCACAATAAATAACCCTATATTGCATAACATCACAATAAATACAAATACAATGTTTTCACAACACATGTCCATTTGTCTTTATCCATAAAAGAATATATCAACTCATATAAGTCTCATCTTAATAATTTTTGTATGTAGTATGTAGTGACATGATCATTTAGCACAAGCTGCGACTTATGGGCCTGGGATTGAATCTGTTTAAGTCACAGAACAGTAAGGAATATAAGCTGTTGATGTGGGACCAGTCAGTGTTGGGGATATAAGCTGTTGATGTGGGACCAGTCAGTGTTGGGATATAAGCTGTTGATGTGGGACCAGTCAGTGTTGGGGATATAAGCTGTTGATGTGGGACCAGTCAGTGTTGGGGATATAAGCTGTTGATGTGGGACCAGTCAGTGTTGGGGATATAAGCTGTTGATGTGGGACCAGTGTTGGGGATATAAGCTGTTGATGTGGGACCAGTCAGTGTTGGGGATATAAGCTGTTGATGTGGGACCAGTGTTGGGGATATAAGCTGTTGATGGTTCAACTAAATTGTGGATATCTGTTGATTTGGGAACTGAGTTAGCCATATTATATGTTGATGTGGGAATGCAGATGAGGATATAATCTTTGAGTTAGTAACTGAGTAGTTAGGGATATAATCATTTAATTTGGGAACTGAGTTGGTCAGATAACCTGTTGATAAGCAAACAGAGTTTGTCTTATTTTTCATATAATCTGGCGATGTGGGAACTAATTTAGTGCGAATTTCTGTTAATGTGAGAACTGAGTTAGTGAGAATATATGTTCATGTGAGAACTCAGCAATATAATTTATTGATGTGGGACCCGAGTGGTACATGTTGATAAGGGAACTGGGTTAGGCATATAATCTAATTATGAGCAAACTGAGTTAGTGAGAAAATCTGTTGATGTGCTAACTGAGTTAGCCATTTTATCTGTTGATGTTAATATTTGAGCTGTTACAGCCATATAATCTGTTTATGAGGAAATGAGTTGGCCACATAATCTGTTTATGAGGGAACTATGTTAGCCATATAATCTGTTTATGAGGGAAATGAGTTGGCCACATAATCTGTTTATGAGGGAACTATGTTAGCCATATAATCTGTTTATGAGGGAACTATGTCAGCCATATAATCTGTTGATGTGGGAACTGAGTGGGCCACATAATCTGTTGATGTGGTAACTGTGTTAGCCTTATAATCTGTTGGTGTTTGAACTGAGTTAGCCATATAATCTCTTGATGTGGGAACTGTGTTAGCCATATAATCTGTTGATGTGGGAACTGTGTTAGCCATATAATCTCTTGATGTGGGAACTGAGTTGGCCTTATAAACTGTTGATGTGGGAACTGAGTTAGCCATATAATCTGTTGATGTGGGAACTGAGTTAATCAAATAATTTATTGATGTGGGAACTGAGTTAGCCATATAATCTGTTGATGTAGGAACTGAGTAAGCCATATAATCTGTTGGTGTTTGAACTGAGTTAGCCATATAATCTATTGGTGTGGGAACTGAGTTAGCCATATAATCTATTGATGTTGGGACTGAGTTAGCCATATAATCTATTGATGTGGGAACTGAGTTAGCCATATAATCTGTTGTTGAGGGAAATGAGTTACCCATATAATCTGTTGATGTGGGAACTGAGTTAGCCATATAATCTGTTTGCGTTTGAACTGAGTTAGCCATATTATCTATTGATGTGGGAACTGAATTAGCCATATAACCTGTTGATGTGGGAACTGAGTTAGTCATATAATCTGTTGATGTAGCAACTGAGTTAGCCATATAACCTGTTGATGTGGGAACTGAGTTAGCCATATAATCTGTTGATGTAGGAATTGAGTTGGCTATATAGCCTGTTGGTGTGGGAACTGAGTTAGCCATATAATCTGTTGATGTAGGAATTGAGTTGGCTATATAGCCTGTTGGTGTGGGAACTGAGTTAGCCATATAATCTGTTCGTGTTTGAACTGAATTAGCCATATAATCTATTGATGTGGAAACTGAGTTAGCCATATAATCTGTTGATGTAGGAACTGAATTAGCCATATAACCTGTTGATGTGGGAACTGAGTTAGCCATATAATCTGTTCGTGTTTGAACCGAATTAGCCATATAATCTATTGATGTGGGAACTGAGTTGGTTATATAACCTGTTGGTGTGGGAACTGAGTTAGGTAAATAACCTGTTGATGTGGGAACTGAGTTGACCATATAATCTGTTGGTGTTTGAATTGAGTTAGCCATATAATCTGTTGGTTTATAAACTAAACTGTCACTACAACATACTGTAGTGTTGACTGAGCTCATGGTATAATCTGATAAAGTAGGAACTGACTGGGAAACATAATCTGAAGATTTAGGCCTAGAAATGTAATTGGGGCATTGGTGTGTTATAGGTGGGACTTTTGGGGTGATTATATCTAATGAAGAAAACGTCGTTTGGTGGATGCAATCTGTTGAAGATATCTCATCTGTACTACTTGGACAACTTGATCTCATTGTAGAAGGTAATGCTTCAATGACGTTATTTTCAGCTTCGCTTATAACTGGGTTTGATATGATATTCTCAGAGAGATCTAAGTTTGGTTTTGGGTTTTCAGAAACATCTGCATGTGCTTGTGGGGTTGTATGTTCAGATCTGGAATGTAAAGGAAGTGTTCCCATGTAACTAGGAAGTTTTGGGTCCAGCTGCACCAAAGACAGACCAGAAATTTGTTGTCCACTTGTGTCCCCTGGTAATATTCCCTCTTGTACATCTCCCTTTTCAATTATTATGTATTCATCAGCATGGTCAGACTGCAGTGATTTTCTTTCATTATATCCAACAAAAGTTTCAGAGACCTGCACATTCTGTAAGACAGTCATAACTGTAGATAACATGTTCGTGTCAACATCTCCTGTAGACACCTCTTGCTGTTTGTAACTATTTTTTTCTCCTTCATCGAAACTATTGGCAGCAATTCTGGTGTAAGATGGCATGGGCTCTTGACTTTGCTCGGTGGAAATTGAGGCTAGAGAAATTCCATGTTTTGGAGATGAGCCCCTACTAAGGAAGCTGTACATCTCACATAAATCACTGACATCATTTGAAGATGTGTTTAGTTGGGCAGATATTTTATTTACAATGGTCCTTGAACTATGTGTTTGTTGTGCCATCTCTACTCTCTTTGCTTTTTTATCAGTGTCACTTCTGCTGTCTGATGAGTCATCAACTTTCTGTTGGACAGCTGATGGGCTGTCAGCCACATTCCCATTATTTGTTTGGTCATCCTGAATGTTAGGATGAGAATCTTGTGAAGCAAGTTATTTTCTAAAATTTAATCATATGTCATTTAATTTCTGAATAAAACATAAATCTAAACATTTTTTCATATTTCTTTTTTTTCTTAATTTACTCTATTTCTTGTTTTATAACAAGCATTTGAATTTTTTTTCTTTCAAATTATCAATGTTTTCCATTTTCACATGAAAGATGCCATTAAGTGATCTATTTGCTAAAATAAATTTTTACCTCTATTTGAATTTCTTTTGTCCTTTTTCTTGAAATCTGGCATCGTCTATGTTAAAATGAAGAAATATCATTCATCACATTTATTGTGATAGTAATTGGAGTAGCTACATTAATAACCAAACTTATTATAAACAAGACTGAGTCAAACTAAGGCCAACTGACCTTGAAATAAGAGCTTTATTTTAAAAAGGGCTTCTCCAAAAATTGTGTAACATTTAAAAAACTTTGAAACTAAATTGTTGAGCCTGAAACAAGCTTTGTTGCTTGTATTTTCTACTTTAGTTAAAAATGTGAGCTCAGGCTTGGCTCACTTCTGGATATTCTTAAATCTTTTACAGATTTCTTGCAAAACAAAAAGAAGAAATTAAAACCTATAAGGCCAATGAATAATGTTCTTAGAACAGAATTACTTAGAGAATTTTAAAAATAAAATATAATTAAATCAAGAAATGGTGTATACAGACCTGTTTACCCTCAAACTCTTAAAATCGTACAATATCATCAAAAAATCGTTTAATACATTATCTTAATAGTGAAAAATAAACATACAGTATATATAATGTAGGTATACACCTCAAAATCGTACATTGTACGCCAAAATCGTAAAAGTAAACAGGTCTGTGTATATGCTTTTTATTATATGTTTGATAAGGCAATTTAGTACTTCAAGTTTTAATTTGAGTTCAATGACCATTCGGTCATATATCCCTTTATGTTAAGTCAAATTAAAATTATTTTAGACTTACCTGTAACAAATCCATGCAACAGCGATGAAAACCAATGAAACCACTGCAATGATGGACCCAACAATGGTCAGGACTATGCTTCCTGAGGTATTCAAGATTACACAATTTTCTTCATAATGTAAATTCAATCATTCATATGAAATATTGATGAGTTGTGTTGATTAATTGATTATTATTCATTCTGTCAAATTTCTGCATTAGACTTTGTAGTGTACAAATTCTTGTGAGTGTGGAATGGGGCCTTCTATTTATATCTGCACTCTATCCTACTTTCAGTTAGACTCAGTCTAACTAAGCCTCTTAGTTTATAATTAATTTAAGCAATGAGATACATTTAATGCCTTTGCGTAGTTTTCTTATCTTGTAATATCTTAGTGTTGTGCTGTTCATTAGAACATTTTCAAACCCATCTGGTTTGTCTAGTCTTAGTAGAAAGTTTTTATCTAGACAAGTATTATGGTATTATGATAACCAAAAAAGTGGATTTTTCTTTATTTCTGGTTTACCCATTTAAACATTAATACATGTGCATCTTCCAGCAAGAAATTATTTTATTAAATATAACTTGATGGACATACAAGAAGTCTTGCCTGCAGGTTTTGGTGTCATTTCCTTCCAGAACAGTTCTTGACCCAAGTGATCATCAACTTTACCCAGGACTGCCACTTTGTAGATGGTATTGGCTTCAAGTTTGGACACCTTGAAAGATGATGATGTGGCTGCTAAATCAACATTCTGGATACTGCTTGAATCTGAAAAAAATAAATTAATAAGGTAGTAGAAATGCCATCATTATATGATGAGCTCAGAACTGTTTCAGTTTTCTTATTAATTATCATAATTTAATTTTATAATTGACATTAAAAAATGTAATGTTAAATGTGAGCTTAAAATAAGTCTAATTGATAGTTTTTGAAATTATAGAATGATGTAAGGAATGAAAAGCTGGAGGATTTTCATTTTTCAAAGGGAAATGGATTTATAACAGCACAAAGCTTACCATTGCACTTATGCCGCTGACACCATATCACTCGGTACCCTGTCAAAAAAACTTGGGTCTTTTTTGTGCATTCAATTTTCTGCCAAAAGACATGGGCAGATTCTGTGTCTGGCTGTACATTTACAATAGCAGGTGATGGTAAAGATACTGGAATGTTTTAAAATTAAATGTAAGTAAATTCTGAATATATAAAGCAAATGTTTGTCCGATTTATTAATAGATATGATACAAGGACAAGATATATGATAATTAGACAAGAGCAAAACGACTTAACTATTAATACGGCAGTCTGATTTACAGTGTTAATAGTGCTAATAAAGAAAATGATACTTGATTTAAAAATTAAAATAAGTTATTGATTATTGGTATCTCCTGATATTGATTAAAGGATAAAGTATGATTTTTTTTCTTTTGAAGTTGAAACTTTCAGACAACTTAGAGTTAATATTAGTTAGTGTAAAAACAGAAGAGAGAATGAGATTTTTTAAAGACCAACTTAGATTGATCAGAGCCAAACCCTCACTGAACACTGATGACTTCACCACTGACAACCCCATAAACAATTACACCCGAAAAAATAGCAAAAGCTTCACTGTGCCTCGGTGCAACACAGTGCAGTATAAACAATCTTTCTTCCCAAGCACAATAATAGCTTGGAACCACCTGGACAATGCCGCTGTGAACTCAACATCGGTTGAAAGCTTCACGGCTGCCCTGGCATCTGATAGGAGCTGTTAGACTAGCAACACCATTCCCCCTACCGTTGCACAGATACCAGTATATGGATGCAGCAACGAACACAACCAGAACCAGAACCAGATAAGTTTCCAAAATATTGCAAGCTTTTAAAAATATTGACTTAATTTTAAACAACGTTCAAAAATATGTTTGAAGTAAATATGAAAGGTTATAAAAGAATAAGACAGTTCATCAAGGCTTTAGAAAGTAATATTTTAATTTCTTTTATCTAAATCTGCTTCCTCAAGTTTTACCCGGTTGTGGATAAAACAAACAATCAGTCCAGTGTATGCCTGTTGTTAAGCCACTCTCATCATCTCTTCTGGCAATACCAAAGTTGTAATCAATTGCATTTTCAGATAGTTCTGGGATGACCAGATCGAACTGAAATCTAGGAACATGCCTCCAATAAATTGGTCCCTGTAAGAGATGAGATGTGAGAGCCCAACAAGCAGACAAAGAGCTAATCTATGATGGTTGAAATACAAATATGTGAAATAAATATGGAAATTAACATTTTTTAAAATTTTTTGAATCTAGTTTAAGAATAAGATAGCTACAACTTTGCAAAATAGCTGTTTTAAGGGTCCAACAGCTCCCTACCTATATATATATATAAGATAATTGTCTTAAGATATTTAACATTAATAATAGTTTGAAGGAAGATTTACCAAATAAATGATGTAAAGTTTACCTGACAAGGAGAGTTTGTATTCTCAATACACCAAAACACAGTATAGGTGCTGTTCTTGTTGTCCTTAGTCTGGTTCCACAAGGCCATGGATTCAGTTTTTATTCCATTCAAAGCGATGGCAAAAGATTTTCTAATTTGCAAAGATACTGAAAAGTATTTAAAAATAAATTGTAAATTTGAGTGCAAGAAGGTTATTTATTAATAGTCTTCTTTTTTTTTTTCAAATTTGTTCCATTTATTTTTTTAAATTTAAGTAAATATATAAAATAAAATTTATTGTGAAAAGGAAATATTTACAGTCAGTTAAACTTTACCTTGGAAACTTAATGGTGCTACTCTAATAATAGAAGGATTTGTTGATTCACCGGCTGAATTCACTGCAGCTATTTCCAAATTTGTGGGTAAATTATTACAGGGTATATCAACAGTTGCACTATAACTACCATTGTCCACTTCAATCAAAACTTGGCCCTTGTGTTTAATAATATATTTTGTAATTACGCCGTTCCTGGCAGACTCGTTAACATCCTAAAAATGAATTTCAAAAGAATATAAAATCCTAACTTTTAATTTTAATTCAATTCATAATTGGCATAATTTTAGTCAAGGCTTTTTTATTTTCAAGATGAAAACCATTATAAGAGAAGAAAAAGTAAATTATGAATTGGACACTAATTCTAAAGTTTGGTACTTAACATTTTCATTCCTATTCCAGATGACTATTTAAGTAGAGTAAGTGGTGTGATTTTGTTTAACATCCTTTAAGATGTGCTATTGAAATTTTCATAAACAATTTGAATGTTTCATTTGCACATGTCGGCCCTATTGATAAAAATGTTATTATTAACTCATTCATATACTACTTTGTAAGAAAGTAAATTTTATGATTATAATTATATGAAAGTAAAATTAATCAATAAATGACTCACACAACGACAAATTCCATTCTTTTAAATCAAATAATAAGAAAACTGTAATATCGTTTCATCTTTGTGAGTACCATTTTTCTTTTTAAATTTGTTTAAACCTGTAGCTTAATATTTACCCAACCTTAGAAAGGATTTTACGTGTTATTTTGAGAAAAAAGAATTTAAAAGTTATAATTTCTTTGTCTTTTTTAAATTATTTTTTTGTTGAAAAAGCTGATGAAATGTAAAAAAAATTAATTTTAATTACTTTTTTAAAACAAAAGATAAGCATTATTGTTTGCTTTTTTAATTTTTTAAATTGTTAACAAAATAATGTAAAGGTGGTTTTTAAAAAAATAAAACCCCTAAATCAAAATCATCACAACTTTTTAAACTTACAAAGTGAATTTATTGTTTTAATTAAGAGTATAAAAATTACCTTCCAGAAAATTGTAACATTGAGCAGGTCATTCATGCATGATGCACTGAAAATGTAACTGCCATTAGTTGTTTCAGGCCCTGTGGATGGTGCTACAAAATAAAGCAGACATTACATTTAAAAGGATGAACTTCAAAGATCGAGGCATTTTCTTTTTTAAATACACAATTTTAAAATTCAACTAGCAATACTAGGGTATATGATTCACTCTCATTTTTGGAGACTTCAGCTTCCTAGTATCTGCTTTAGACTAAATATGGTGCAATTATCTGAAAACTTTTTTATATTTAAAAAGCATTCATCTATTGAAAGTCTAAATAAGTTTATTCTAAAATCTTTACCTGCCTCAGGTGTGAAATAGTAAATATATGTTTTATCACTCCAATATCCTAAGAAATTACCACCTGGGTAGCAGTGAACAAAGAACTTATGCATGGTGTTAGGCCTCAACTCACAAATGATGTTGCTTGTCTTTGTAATGTTGTCTAGTCTTAACTGGGGAGTTTAAATGTTAGAATGATTACAATTAATATTAATATCACAAAACCTTAATATCATCTTTAAGGAACTAGGGCACTTTATGCCATTCAAATTGTTTCATCAGATTAATGCACTAAGATTTTTGAGACGCAAGAATACTCCTTATTTCAATAAAGATAATAAAACACCAAAATGGATGTTGATCATTTTGTATCTAATGATAATGCACTGATGTCTGGTTATGTATTTAAATATAGGGAAGATTGGTGGAAGTTGTCATTTAGAAAGCAGCAGTCATCACAAAGATTCAAAAATACTAATAAAATGTACATTATTTTATTCTATACACTTAAAGTAGTAGCCAGAAAATAATTGATGGCGCTGTAACTTCAGATATGGGGCATCTGATTCCCGATCAGCGTGTGGTTGGCTTTATAAGCCAGATTCAAATATAATAATGAATGACATTAAACAGTCTTTATAATTGTAAAAATGATTGGTACTGAACATCATTTTCCTAACCTCATAATCTGTATTTTCTGGACGTTTGTGAAATACTTGACAGACTGCATCAAATGTTTTAGTATTCTTCCAAGATAATAGATAACAGCCCTCTTGATCACCTTGTTTTGTTAGAGAAAAATCTTCAACTTGAGCAGGTTTGACTGCATTTTTATGAAAGAAGTGTATACAAAATTATATAATGTATGTCATCTTAATTTAAATATAATTTTAATGTAAAAATAATTATTAAATTAAAAGCAAGATCCAATGGGAGAGGTTCTTCTCTTTACCATTTCTTGTTACATAATTAGTTTATTTATAAAATAGACATGAAACTTATTGGACTTTAAGTAAGTTACTGTTTTTTTATACATATATTCTCCCTGAAATAAATGTACAATTGACAGAAAATTTACCTATCTTATATGTCTCAACATTGAAAGAGTTAGTGGCTGTATCCCCAGTGAAAGAATTGTTTACACTGACCAAAATTTTGAATGATAAAATTGTAGTTATGGATGACCAAAAACATCCATCAAATTGTGGTTGTGGACATTTGTTAAAATCTGATCTGTTGATTTTTAAGAATAAGAGTTAAACATTAAATCAGGCCTACTATTTGTACATAAAATTTTTTTAAAACTTTTCTACGCATAGATGTTTTTAACTTACTCAACAGTTTTGCAATATGCCCTATGCATAAGGTAAACATTTTTTAAATTTAAAACTAGAATATTTTGAAAATTGACAAACTTAAACTGGGACATTAAAAAACAACTTTTGATGTACAAAAATTAACAATTGTGTGGATACAGTTGGATGGGTCATTGTTGGTTGGTTGTTATTTTGAATATTATTGTGAAAGCTAACTTTGATAAACTAGAAATTTTAGTTTTGGTTGTTTCCTTTAATTATGTCTGTATATCAGATGTACTCTTTTGTTAATTATTAAATATATTTTCAGTTTTTGAACTAGGCTTATTGTAGGCAGTGATTATTTCAGAAATTTGGGGGGGGGTCACTTCAGATTTTTTGGGGGAGCAGTGCCAGCAGTGCTAGTTGTTGGACATATTTTTGTCCAGGGGGGCACTTTGCTTTCCCCGGGGGATATAGCTGAAAGAAGCCCTGACTGTAGGCCTACTAGTTATAACTCATGACTTAAAAGGACAAATGTCCAAAAACCAGCACTTTAATTGTAAAAACAGTACAGATTGTCATAAACTGGAAGTCCTGACTTGGGGTAGCTAATAGTAATAAACATACTATGAGCACTTTTTTTAGAACAAATGCTAGAAGAAACGGCAAAAAGGACTTTGCGGACTATCCCATAAGTCATAAGTTAAAACTAAAAGCAATTGCCGCATTAGGTAAGTTAAAGAAAATCAAAAGTTGAGTTGTGGGGAAAATGTGGTATTTCAAATAATTGACATTGACTTAGACATCATTGGCACATCGACATCATTGAATGGGAGTCGCTTAGTCACTTCCTTGTTTGGTCACGTGATGAGAGTAAGCCGTCACTAGGCTGCTACACACAACAAAAGATACTTCATCAGTGCTTCCCCAATGTTATGTTACTTGAAAATTTTACCTTTCAAAATATTCTGGAATAAACGCGTTTTTTAAATGAAATACATAATTGTGACAATAAATATACGTCAGTTATGATTAAGGAAGAAAGTTATTTCAAGAAAAATTTGTGAGCGATATTCGATGGGAACTATCAATACTATCATCGGCAGGCTGTTGTAGAGCTCCATGCGTGCCCATGACGTCATTTGCGTGTTTATACAATATCGGTGCAGGAGTCATTCCCCTTTGTTTATTTTATTGTTAATTTTCATTGGACGAAATGTCGGCATACTCATGACGTCATTTGCGTTTTTATTCAATATTGGTGCGGCGAAGGAATATTTTAATAACCGGTTGGAACAAGATTTCATGTGAATAATTAACGAAGGTCCACTTTGTCAAGCCATTGTCTTAAATTTTCTTTATCCTTAAGCGGAAACTTATGCAGACTTATACCGCTGTCCTTAACTTGACTGTTTGAACAGCCAAAAGCCAAACATTGCCTTGGCATCTTGAATTTCTAGTTGTAGTGTGTAACGGGCTACTGTTGTCAAGCACTAGTGTGTTGTATACAGCCTACCGGAAGTCTTACTCGTTTTTACGCTCATCACGGGACAAATCAATCGACTAAGCGACTCCCATTATTGCCAGAGAATGAAGTGAACTCCTGATGAATGAATATAGCTGTAGGTAGTAGGCGTAGGCCTACATGATCACTCGAATTGCAAGGTATTGACCAGCAATTACAATATTTTACGAAAAAGACACACAAAATAATGAAATTTTATACAGAACAGAACATACTCACAGTGATTGATCTGAATTGAAGACCAGTGAAACCTGTGTGTCGTTAAGATCAACATTATATTGCACTGGATGTTGCCAGGTACAATTCAGATTCTCCCAATTAAAAACAACACAAGTAAAATTTGTTATGTTTTGGGGCCGATCTGTAATTATATGAGTAGACCTATATTGTGATCATAGGTTGATCTCATTTGTTTGGAATGATTTTTTAGCATGCTTAAAAGTGGGTATCAACCACAGTTTTAAAAAATGTAACCGGAACCTAGGTTTAGTGCCACCCGAGGTGAGCCAATATTTTGGCCGCCCACACCGACGAAAAATCTATGCACCAAGCCGAAAATGCCCCTCCCCCATAAAAATAATGCAGATTGTAAAAACTTTCCACCCGAGCGTAGCCACCACCCTCCCTCACCCTCTGCTCACCCTACACCTTTCCTTACTCTTGTTTTACCAATATTATATAACAGATGTGTGCGTGGGCGGGAGGGGGGAAGTAGTCTAATTACGACACAGGTTATGACGCAAGGTCTGAAAGTGAAAGTCACATCTTGTGTAACAGTGATTTGGGAGAAAATTACTATCATAGTTCTATTCTCTAAGAATTGTTGGAGTTTTGGTTGGGGGGGGGGGGATTGTCCATTAATTACGTCAACAATTTTTGACCCCCTCCGTCCCTTTTTCAACACCTGTAAAACTTTCAATGACTTTAATTTTTCTAAATTTTTTCCCCCCCCCCCCCCCCCAAAAAAAAATAATATTTTCTTTAAAAATGGAATTTTATTTTAAATAAATTTATAAACACATTTTACTTTGTGCTGATCTATTTAATTACAATACAATTGTAGGAAAAACATTTCATTACATCCTTAGCTTGTTAATCAACACGTTAAAAACTTTTTACGCTTTAATTTTATAATGCAGAATCAAATAAAAAGTTGTTAATAAATATCATTGTTTGTGGTATAAATATGATTATTGTCAGTAAAACTGACAATTATTATATAGTTTCTAGCTGATATCCTCTTCCCAAGGAGTAGCCAGGTTTGCTCTATCGTAACAATGGGCAACAGGGACATCATTTGGGTAGGGCAGGGGGGGAATGTGCCCCCCTCCCCCTAATGTGCATGTTTTATTTAAATTTCTATTTACCGTGGCGCCTCTAGTAATAAACATCGTAACAAGCCAACCAAGCTTTGGTTTTGCTCTCTCTTTCTCCTTGCAGCTACTAGCATTGGTCGAGTCCTTTTTTTGTTGAGGAGCAGGTGCTAATTTTGTATGCTCAAGAGGGCATTGCCGGTTCTATTGAACATGCTTTTTCAACATGACTTGTGATGCGAAATAGATGCTACAGATTTTTGCAAAGCCTTTCAAGCGGCGATGTTCTTATTGTTACTCATTTTACATTCACCTAATTCTCAAAATATCGTATTCCTACTCTATCAATATCATTTATCTGGACTGCACACGACACTTGAACCTTGTCCTTGTTCCATACCTGCAACAGAATCTACAGGTGAAGAGAGGCCAAATTTTGACTTCTCTTGCACTAACAAAGTGTGCTAACATTCTGACCAGCCATCTGCAGTGCACAGACACACATTAAATAAATCTTATAGTGTTAAAAGCCTACAATTTATATGACTATTTACACTGATAATTTTTTTTTTTTAATAATGTAATAGCCAGTCAATTTTTAAGTTTAAAATTTTAATACAGAAAACATAATTGTTGACGTCAACTAATCTAAACCCCACTTCCTCCCCCTTGTCAACACCTGTCAAACATTTCTAACCCCAACCCCCACCCACCCTCCACCCCGCCCCCACCCCCCCACCCCACTATTTTGTTGACGTAATTAATAGACGCCCCCTGTGATTTTTGTCTTCAAAATCTCCGGAACAGCTTATGAATGGGGCAATAATTTTAGTCATTAGTCATGAGGACATGACCGACTCTAAATATTAGCATAGCACTTCTATCTACACAGTGGAAGCGGAGTTAGCAGAGGTCATAGCTTGCCGGATAACATTTGGCACAGCCTCAGAATCAAATTTAAACCCCGGCTCAATCGTAAATAAAAGCAAGATGCGTCAGACAAATTTAAATGCATAACTTGCCAGAGTATATGAACACTGCAGTAGCAAAAGCGAACAGCGCCATGCATAAAATGAGTTGGTAAAATAAATATGGAATTTGATACAAGCAAGTTCTGATATGACCAATGAGTACGATCCTATCTAATATGGACAATTGGCAGATAAATGTCCACAAAATTGTGATTGAAACCGAGAAAAAAATTAAAACCACTCGTGGCGCCGGGACATGTTTGCTGAACCGGGACGATCCTGGTCAAACCAGCAAGCCCACTTAAAAGACGTGATATGATCCACGAAAAAAATAAAATTACGCTCAATTAAAGCAAAGTTGAATGCTTAAAAAATGTTGATTTTTTTCTTTACTGTTTATACTTTCACAATTTATATTATTGTAGAATAAACGAAAGGATCTAAAAGGTTTTAACTGTATAACATACCCCTTTAACTTACGCAAACTTAAACATTTTAATAACAATCAGATCAACTAATTATTGAGCAATCAACATAACTTAAGAAATGATGGATTAAATGGAAATGACATTTCATCTAAATAATTGAAAATAGATGCTTTAAACATTTTTATTCTAGCAACTAAATAGTTAAAATAAATCAATAAAATTTTGGAAATAGGTAGGCCTATTCGAGAAAAAATTCACAAAATATTATAAACTTTTCATTCTAATTTTAGGTTTATATATAATATAATAGATTATGTTCATTTCTGAATACAAAATCGAGTTTTTAAAGAGAAATGGTCACTTACATTGTATTCTGACATCTACAGAATCAACCAACATTTCAGTAGCCGTTAAGTCAGCATCGGAACATCGGGAATCTAGTAAACAATTGAACTGTGCAATCCCAGTCTTGTTGACATTAAAATTTGGTATGGATAGAACCGCTGTTGATGCATTATGCACATGAACATTGGTCATATCGAGGCATTCGTGTGTAGAACTTCTCTGTTGACAATGATTGCGCTAAATTAATCTTTGAAATAACTGGCATAGACTCGGTGATGCACTGCGGCCCCGGGGGGGGGGGGGGGGGGGGGGGGGGGGGGGGGCGGCCGGGACACCGGAAAAAATCTCACCAG